ACGAAGAATATCCTGGCTTAAGAACTTAAGGGAATGGTTTGGATGCAGTAGTGCAGAACTTTTTAGAGCGGCAATCAACAGAGTCCGCATAGCGATAGAAAATACGGCGAGCAGAAAAGAGAGATACATCTCGTATTTATAAATCTTAAGAAGGCGTACGACACACTACCTAGACAAGAGCCATGAAGATGTGCGATAGAGAAATGCATTCCTGAGAAGAACGTAAGGCTCGTGGAGGATATCTAAGAGAGAGCGTACACCAAACTAAGAACTTATGTCGGATTGGTCGAAAGTTTCCCAGTGACGCTTGGCTTATATCGTGTTAATGGAGGAGAGCACAGAAATGTTGGAGTAGAAGTAGATAGTAAGCCACTTCATCACACTTTGACCTTTGACCCCATTTTTTGGTGGAGGCGTGTATTATGTTAAATGTCATATATTGTCAAGTGTGGACGTGTGTCCAATTTCATCTACATTAATAGATGGCATTTGACATAAAAGATGACATAAAAAATGACATATCTGACATAATACGTGATATTCGACATGAAACGTGTAAAGGTCCACCAAAAAATAAGGTCCAAGGTCAAAACGTGACGAAGCTTACTATCTACTTACTCGTAGATCGAGAAATTGGCCACAGGATACAGATTCGAATGATCAGATGTTACTGTTTTCTCTGTTTTGCTGTATGGTTGTGAAAATTGGACAATGGACTCTGAAACAGAAAAATAAATAGATGCCTTTGAAATGTATATATACAGACGGATGCTGAGAATTCCATGGATACAAAAAGTTAGCAATGGTTCCATTGGTACCAAAGGGAGAAAAATACAATACTTGGGTCATGTGTTGAGTGGTAAAAGGTATGAATTACTCCAAATCATATTGGAAGGTAAAGTTCATGGCAAAAGATCAGTTGGAAGAGGAGATGGTTTGACGTTCATCCACAGAAATCTTTTGTACAGCAGTTTCTAGAGCTATAATTGCCATTTGGATCGTTTATTTTCGAAAGGAAACGGCGCAATAAGAAGAGAAATACAGACCAGTTGATTAAGCTGAAAGCGAATGAACAGAAAAATCATTGAAAGCCTGAAAGGAAAGATATAGAATTATATCTACCGTATGGAGGTGAAATGTGACCTGGAAAGAGGGTTCAGGAAAAGAAGTTGAAAGTAGCTGAAATGAACATGTTACTGTGAATGTTGGGTAAGACTAGAAGGGTTCAGAACGACGTGATTAAGAAAAGAGCCGAGATGACTACAGTATAAAAAAGGCTTTAAGAGCAAAGACTACAATAGTTTGGTAATGTCCCATTTGAGAACTAGGTCCTATGAAGGGTATAGTTATTAGAAGTTGAGGGAAAGAATGATATGGGAAAACCGAGGAGAAGATGAAAGGACTGAGTGGCAGAGGACAAAAAAAAAAAAGAAAACAGTAGAATGATAATTTGACAATGACAAATGACAGCTTAAAATTATAAGTGACAAGTGATAAAAAATTGAGAGCATATTGACCACAAATAACCATAATGGCCAAATATTATTAAACCAACTGCGACAAACGATCCAAATAAAAGAATATCACATACTAGATCATGTCAACACAACAAACAAAGTCCTAGGGGAGGAAGAAATGGAGTAATGCTAAGAAATTTATGAACAATAAAATATTGGAAGTATGATTTCAGTATGAAACATGTACACTGTGAAAAAAATTTAAATTATTCTGTAAAAAATATTTGTCCGTTTCATTTTTTCCAAAAGCGACATTCCAAATGGAACAACTCCTTATATTTAGATTATTTAAACGATCTACATCTCATAATAGTGATATATCGAAACTTTCAAGTTCAAATTAGCTATCGCCTACATTTTTTTTTTTTCATCAAAAAATTCATCTAAAATATTACCTACATTATATCATAATATGTGTGTCGAAAGTGATTTGATGAAACCATTTCAACATTGCTTGTACTTAATAAATGTATATATACAGTATGTTTCTTTTATTTACTAAGAATTGATTCCCGGTTTCCTTATTTTAAGAATTACACTTTTGATTAGCGGAGAATTGTCAAAAATATGGACTGATCAAATTCACTGTATACAAAGTTTTCTCTTGTTGAGCTAGAAGTATTGAGGCTAAATATAATTTAAGGTGCAAGTTAATACTGGTTGCATATTTTCTGGCGTTACTGTGATTTCATTTCAAGTAAAATATATTAATTTTAGGAGCAATGAAATATTGGTTGCATATTTGCTGGCGATTTATTAATCAAATCAAACAATTTAACCACCAGTAGAAAATATCTACCAAAAGAGTCCAGAATACATGGATAAACCAAAATAACAAAATGAATCCTATATTCGACGTTTCTACTTCCCGGCAGTAAAATATTGAAAACATTTTACAACTTAATACTTCTTATGAAAATATTTTACAAAAATTGAAATTCCACGTGAAAACACTTTGGTGATGTTTCTGCACAAATATTTTTATCTGGTGAGTTTTATCAGTCCAAATTTTTAGCCAAGTTCTGTATCATAATGTTATTTTATCTAAATGATTGCAAAATTACTGGATTTTCAAAAAGGTTTAAAATTATTTAAAAATCAGTCTTTTTTCTAAATTTTCGTACAACTCTTTGAACATTACACTTATTTGGTGACTTAACAGTGTTAAAATAAAGAAGTTCGACCACTACAACCTAAAATAATGAACACAAGATTATATTTATTTTGTATCTCAACGTTCATGTGAGAGAACAATGATGCAGACAGTAGACAGCTGACATATTTGACAAATGAGACGTCACAGCTGCCATCTTGAAAAGTAGGCGTGTCTAAAACCTTCTATGAAACCACAATGAAATACAAAATGCAATAAACAGACAAACACCGACGAAACAAACATATAAATTAGATTAAATAAAAATATAAATGGAGAATTTTTCACATCAACGTTGAAATGTCTTTTATTAATTCCAAACCCGCCTGCCTATTTATCTTTAGCAACAATTTGTTTGAAAATCCAGTAATTTTGGTCACTTTCAACATGTCAGTGATAGTAAAAACGACGTATTTGGCTATTTCATCTAAAACTCGATTTAACAATCGAAAATAAATATTAAAAATATTATATAATCTCACAAATTGAGATTCCTAAAAGTTTAGAAACAGTCGGTGAGTTTAAAAACACTTCAGAATATTTTAGTAGTCCACTCAACTTTACTTCTTCAAATTGTTATGATCTTTCTTTCCAAAAGAATTGACATACCATTGACAATTGACAGATGTAAGTGACATTGACATCCAATGTTGCGTTGTTGAAAAATATGTCATATTATCACTGACAAAAAAATACTTATAAAGCATTTTCGGTCAAAACTTAATATTCTGCTTGTGTTGTCAGTATTCTTATGTCAAATAACTTTAAGATGTAAGTTTGCCGACTGTTTCCATCGTATATTGCGTTAGAAAATTTTTGATATTACATAATTAGAGAATATTCATAATATTCAAGTTTTCAAGAATTGAAAAAAATATATATAAAATAAGTGTCGACAAGAAAACAATGGAAATACATAAAAAAACATAAACCACAGTAAATATAAATTATGTACAAAAATATATAATATATTTATATAATATAAAAAAAGTATCAACAATTTTTGCTCTGTCTCGATAGAACAGGCGAGTAAATAAAAATAAAAATGCGTCCTGAACTGATTTCTGGTGTTTCTATTTCTATTGAAAACAAATTTTCTTACTTTAAAATTTGTTTTCAAAAATATTCACAAAGATGTTTTTTATTCAGAATGAAGTGATTCCTACGCGACGAATGTTCAATTAAGTAAACTATTATTTACCTCTGACGTCATATAGTCGGTATAATTTCTTAAACATAGTTTTAACAAAACTTGAAAGTTCAGCAAAGAAATTTTAACTTTATTTTTAGAGTTTTTATTTTAACCCCTTATCGCATAGTGGGTCATATATGGCACAATACTTGATGATGACATGTCCATATAAAGCGCATATTTCGTATAACCGGTAATAAAGCGCCTTCTCAATGCAGCAAAGTAAACTTTTATCAAAATTTGCAAATGGTCGCGGTCTGGCAGCTCTTCATAAGAATTGTGCAATTTGATATTCAATTATCGAAGTTTCTGCTAAATATTTTTGTACAAAAAATAGTGACATCAAGAATGGACCATCAAAAAACAATATCTATGAGTATTTTCACGTATTTCTTTATACTATGGTATTTTTTGATCAAAAATATGCTTGTGCCATATATGCCAAAATATGCACTGTCGTGCAAAACTCTCTTTCATAAATGGCACATTATGGGTTTTGAACTAGGTATTTTTTTATTTTAGATAATGGATCCAAAAAAGATTTAAGGTGAAACACTTGTGGTAGTGGACATACCAGAAGACGAAGGGCTATCAGATGGTATTTCCCCTCTTTATTAGCTCCAGAGTCAGACTATGAAGATGATATAATAGATAATAATGAATCAGATATTATTATCCTAGAAACCTGTGGTTCAAAAAGCTTAATAAAATGCGAGAAGTGTAATGTTTTTCTATGCTTAAACAAAGATAGAAATTGTTTTTACAACTTTTACACTGAATAATTATTATAATTAGAAAGTAATAAATGTCATTTTTTTTATTAATTTTATTTGTTTGATCTTGTTTTAATGCATAGCGCGCCATATATGACACAAAAAAAAATAAAAAAAATACAAAAAACTAAGCAAGTAGGATTTTTGTATATTCTTATCGGAATCTTGAAGTCAAGTTTGTAATCATACATTTTTTTTTATAAAAAAACATAAAAAATCATGCAGTAAGGGGTTAATATTAGCTTTCATGGAAAGATGCAACTGCTGTACGCATACAGAATGATAAACCAACTCAAGACGCATTTTAATGGCCCGGTGGTTCTGCGAACAAATATAAAAAAATATTTTCAAAGTATGCTAACCGTCTAAAAATCCAAATTGAACCCGGTGTCACTGTCGAAAGAACTGAGCAGTTCTTGATCGGAGAACGTGGTGCCGTCAGCTGCGGCTAAATTGTCTAAAAATTCGAAATTGAAGTCCGCTTGAGGATTGAAAGCTGAAGCCAATGCGTTCTGGGGGTTTTGGGCCGAGTTGGACGAAGGGACGATGCTGTTCATTTGCCCGCCAAGCGAGAGGTTCTGTTGCTGTTGGGACTGCTGAAGGGACTGGTTCGATATGGATATGGACTGTGATTGCTGCAGGTGGAGGCTCGACATGGCCATCTAGAACAGATCAAAATTAGTACTATATCAAAACAATTTTTGTTTCTTAGATCTCTTTTTTTCCTGCGCAAGCTGTATTATGTTGGATTGGGATTTTTATCGATAAATAAATGTTTAAAAAGTAATTATTAATGCACCAAATAGTTCATTAGTGGATGTAAACTTACGTGTGAATTCTGCTGCATCATCGAATGTTGCTGCTGTTGTTGTTGCATGTGCAGCATAGCTTGATTCATATTATTCATCTGGGCCATGGGATTGTTCGCCTGGCTTATAACTTGGGCCTGGCTCATGCCAGGTCCCATACCAGGCTGGCTGCCGACCACACCTCCGCCGGAAACCATAGCCTGCTGGTTTCGGAGCTGTTGTTGGTGTTGCAACGCAGACATCTGCTGCATGTTGTTGGTATTCATACCAAAACCTAAAATACGAGTCATAGAATGTTCTACATAGTTTTTACTAATAAGAAAATGAATAAAACATGTTCTTGTTTTTCTTTACCTTGCTGGAATTGAGGCCTCATAGGAGTAAAGCTGGAATTCTGCTGCTGACTCATCAACAAATGCCTCCATTCCGTGTTGTGTTGCATAGATTCCATGCCGGCGATCGGGCCTTGCTGCCTCGCGTACAACGCCGCTCTCTGAGGCATCTGCTGCGGCGGTACTTGCTGTTGAGGTTGCTGCATCATATACATGTTTGATCGCATCATTGGCCCTACAAAACCAAAATATAGGACTGTTAATCATCTAGTTATCATTATTGTTATACATACAGAGAATATTAGGGAGTTAGTCTATAGATGGATCTTAAGAACCAAGTGTACAAGTAAAAAAACATTAAAGCGCTTACCTGAGGGAGGCATAGGCTGCATGGGCATTCTCCTCATATTCGGAGGAGGCGCTGGTGTGGCGTACCGCGGCTGCATCCCTTGCATCATGCCCGCGCTGGTCTTGTAGTCCGGTGGAGGCGGTCTCACCATGTGCTGTTGCATCGCGGCTTGTTGCTGTTGCGCACGCAACATCTGCTGTTGGTGCAACAATTTCTGTTGTTCTAAAGATTGCGCCGTCATCAGACGAGGTCCCATACCCGGTCCTGGTCCGGGTTGGTTACCCACATTCGGACCGGACGGATTGGGGCCCATTGGACCGTTTGGTCCCATTTGATTTGGCACTCCTGCAAAATACGATAATAGATATTGGCTCACGTTACTAAGTTTGCAAAATTCTTACCTTGCGCTCCGGCTCTTCTGAGAGTCTGTTGAGTGAAGTTGATCGTCTGTGTTTGAGACATGGAGTAGGTATCGTTGTGGCCACCCATACCTCCGACGTTGTGCATAGGATGATGCTGCATACCACCCATAGGACCGGGCAAGCCACCGGATCCACCCATATTGCTGTTCATGCCTCCTAAACCGTTTCCTCCATTTCCTGGTCCCATGTTGCTATTGGGCATTCCCATATTACCGGGTCCTGTCATGTTATTGCTCATATTGTCATTTCCTAAACAAATAATCATCAAGTAATCATAATAAGGTCAAATATGTTTCAGTATACGGGGCGATATTTACCTGCCATATTACCAGACGAAGACATCCCTCCAGGTCCTTGCATATTCTGCCCCATCTGTCCTCCAGACATTTGCATGTTGCCTCCAGACATCTGACTTCCCGCCGAATGTCCCATCGGACTCTGGTTGGGTACTCCGTTGGACATGGGGGAGTTTTGATGTTGGGGATTCGACATCGGGCTCGGTTGATTGGCATTTGTGTTTTGTTGATTTTGGTTCGAATTATTCTGGGACGATTGTTGGGTGAAGTGCATACCCTGCTGGGTGGCAATAGAGACGTTGCCCTTGATGTCGCCAGTGAGGTGAACATGCTGGCCCGCAGATACCTTAGACAAGAAAAATTTCTTAATTTTTATCCATGTTTAAGATTCGTCGCGATCCAAGTATAGGTCTTTTCTCCAATATTGTTATAAATTTGGTTTAAATGGTAAATTACCATTCCATACAATATACTTATTATTTACCACACATATTAACTAAGATTATACATATAAAAGCAATGGTAAGAAGTTGTATCCTTGTCAAATCCCTCTAAAATTGTTGTGTTATTTTTTTCTACCTCGCAACAATATACAATACAAAATGTAAAAACTTTTTTATAAAATCTACGGGTACGCCACTGGACATTTCGTTACAAGATAATTTGAAAACTGTTGGTAAATTTGTCAACGAATCTTCAAGAAAAATTCTTTAAAAAGATATTTGCACCCTTATGAATCGTTGATTAAAAAAAAGAGTATAATAGAAATACGGGTTGTCTGTCATTTTGCATTATTTTCTGATATGCTGCCACCAACGCAAACACCGTGGGAAAAGAAACAACACAAGAGTTGCATAGTTGCATGTTTACCATTAGAGGTGAGTTGATACTGAACAAATCGTTCAGTAGGTACGATCCTATAGATCCTTGATAAATTCAGCCAATTGACAATGCTCTTGTATAGTGCCGTTAATTCTTTTCAGGTAGTTTCTTTAGATTTATTTTTTTTTAAACGCCATCTGTCGTTAATAAGATATTTTCTGCAAACATATAACTAAAATGCCGCAATGCACTATTATTTACAGCAATTATTTCGCAAATGGACCCTTCAAAGCGACGGACGAATGAAAAAAAGTCGATTCTGAGTAAGGAAATATAACCAAGAAATCGAATCATTAAAAGGAACGGCTCGCGCAGTCTCTAATTGCGTGTACTTACTTCCTCATAATAAACAAATACTAAATTTATGGACCGTTAGTAAGAAGTCCAATTTCGCGTTGTAGAATGCGAAGAGTCTGGCAAATTTTAATGGACGATAGGAATTGCTGCTTTCAAAGGATCTACCGTTAGTGCAAAGAAGACAAAGACCTTATGTGAGTTTTGTAAAACGCTTCATAGCGTATACAGGGTCTCCAAAAGATGTTCTTACTACTTAAGAGATAAATTAGTACCCAATTAAATTTTATCATCATAATCATAATGTTTACTGGTATTAAAGGAGTTTTTTATATTGAAAATATTGAAAACCACTAAAGTAAGATGAAATATCAATCAAATTAAGAATGGCGGAGAGATTTTCTAAATTGAAATTATCTAATCAATAACAATATAAAAGGCTAGGATGACAAACAAATTACACTGTTTGTCCGGTAGGGTAATTACGCCCCATAGGAAAGAAACATAACCAACATCTGACATTTCAATCATATTCTGTTTGCAGAAAAATCTAATCAATAACAATATAAAAGGCTAGGATGACAAACAAATTACACTGTTTGTCCGGTAGGGTAATTACGCCCCATAGGAAAGAAACATAACCAACATCTGACATTTCAATCATATTCTGTTTGCAGAAAAAGGTTTCTGACCCAGTCATATTTGCTCCATGTCTTTGGGAAAATACTTCTCTAAAGTATTCGCTCAATAACATGTGTTGTGTATACATATTTTTTAAAGAGAGATCAAGGATTTCTATCGATTTTTCTTGTAGAATACTTTGTAACGCAAGGAAACAGTCAATTTCTTGATCTTCTAATTTTCTCTTTCATAAGAGCAAAATCTTCTGAAACTCAGTAATTGTATCTGCCAATTGCAGGATATGAGTATTGTTTCCCTGCAAAGATCATTTAAGTTGTTAAATACAATATATAACATACAAAGACGTTGTCTGATGTTTTAGCTCTGGCAATTTTCTTACAAAAAAGTCTCTTGGCTTGTGTAAATGACTGTGAGTTGATTCCAAATTCTGTTTTAGTTTATTAAGAAGCATACTTTCAGCCGCCAACACCTTGTGACAAACAACACATTGTGGAAGTTCTACATTTCCCTTATATTGCAGGTAAATCCAAAATCCAAATATTGGTCGTCATATTTTGTATATTTCTTCTTTTTACTTAAATTAATATTACTGCTCTCGCCTGATTTTTCACTTCGTTTTATATTCTTTTGAATTTATACTTATATTAGTGTTGCTAATATCTGGATAATTATCCGATTTTCGGATAATTTCGTGAACCATTGAATAGTTTTCGGATTGAACAATTTTTTGGATAATTCAAGGGTCTATACACTTTTATATTATTATTATATATTTTTTATTTGATTTATTTATTAATACATATAAGTTATACTTTTTTAAAATCAAATAAATATATTGTCTGTATTAAAAGTCCGCGCTGACACGCGACGCCCCTGGGACAACGCAGCGACGCCCTAGGGCGTCGCGACGCACAGTTTGGGAAGCCCTGCACTAGTGTCATTCTGTCAAAAGTGGCTAGAATCCCAAACTACGTCAATTTAATTGCACAAATTACTCTAATTAGTTTAGATACAGTCTCCAAAAAAGAATTAGAAAAAACTAATGAAAATTGCGAGGATTAATATGCGTAAAGAGAGACACTGTGGAGTCGTCTTAAAGTAATTAATAAAATAGGAAATTTTGTCAATTCTATATCCAGCATTTCATGTTATATATCTTTAGACTAACATTAAGACTCTCACTCTCAAGTCATACATCGAGAATTCCACATCGACCCTACCCGAATAATCCGAAACAGCAACCATCCCTTAATTAAAACCTATCAACGTCATCAAATCCAGCAACTCTCGCCCCCTCATCGTTTCACGTCTATTACGGTTTGTTGAAAAATGGATTTCATGTTCGCGGCTCGTATTAAAACTGTAGAAAGAGTATAGAACAAAATGGATAACAGTACTCTCTTTAATTTGTTTCAAGTGAACGTACTCGCGGGCTGGATACACTCAAGAGTGCAATCATATCGCAATGTTGTTACAGTGGCGCACGATATTAACTTTTGAGGGAAAATTTCACCGAAAATTTGAGAAGAGCGAATTTATAGCGATTTTTTCTATAACAAGAAAGTAAAGTATAGAATAAACTATGTGGAATATTATCGTTGGAAGTTTGTTTTTATTATACAATAAAACACACACTTTTTGTTAAATTGTCGATTTATTCGACACTGGGAAAAGCACATCTTGTTTCTAGGGAACTAACAACAATATTAATCTTTTCTCGGCAACTGCGTATGACGGAAAAAGATGGAAATTGGGGGCGGAGAAGCGGCGACAGCCGTAATCAATCCGTTATTTTATATATATATATATATATATATATATATATATATTATATATATATATATATATATATATATAATTTAAACCGAAAATAAAATGACCTAAACGTTTTTATTTAATACAATAATTATTGTAATTTATATAAAAATTCACTTTTCTCTTTGCATTAATTTTTGCTTATGAATTTGGAAACAAATAGAGCTTAAGTTGATTATTTCTTACTGTATTATTACAATTTATAATAACAGTTGCGAACTCCCATCTTCTTTATTGATAGTACTTATGAAATGTGCTAATAAAAATGCAAGGTTTCGTCGCTTCACGCGCACGATCATTTCTCGCATTCCCACCAAGTACTTGCACACAACGAATAGAATAGAAATATGCTTTATTGTCACTGAAAATTGTACAATTTTATGGACAAAGCATACAAAAAGTTAGATAATAACAATAACAATTAAAATTTACTGAAATTACATAAATCATCAAAATAAAAGATAATAAAATGAACAATCCATTGCAAAATTTAAATTAATTGTAAATTGCATAATAAAACCTTACGGATTAATAAGTTGAAAATGCTGCATATGATACCCAAATATAGATACAAATACTTTAGTTACTCTACATAAAGATACTGTAATATCTTAGTTATTCATTAAGGAACTCTTCTAATGAATAAATAATATGGTCTTTCAGATACATAAGCTTTTGTCATTTTATGGAACTTGCAGAAGAGGTTATATATAGTTTTTTGCAGAATATAATACAGATTTACTACAGAGTAGTCATGATTAGGTCTTGCTGGAAAAACATGTATATGTTTACCAATTAAGCAAACAGTTTACGCTCTAGGGTCTCTGCGTATTGTTTCCTAGACTCTGTGGCTGAGATTTTTTTTAACTGTACCTGTTGTTTTATTTTAACCCAGCAGTGGTTTATTTTACTTTACCTTGTCTTTGTCAAGACAAGGTAACATAAAGAGAGCGTAGTTTGTGGTTTTTAAGGGTTTTACAACCCTTATTGTCCACAAAAAGACGACATGGTGCCCAACTAGCTTTCAAGCCCATGACCCACCTGCACAGAAGGCACACAGGTGAATCCACCATGTGCTGGATTAAGAAAGATAGCGGTGAGAAGCATCGGATGTTAGCACATCCAGGTAACATGCCGACATCGAGGCCTTCTGCAGACCTGAAGTCTTTAGTGTGCAGACACCTTCGACTAATCGGCCTTCTTCGAAGTTAGAAGCCTAAGCTACCAACGGAAATCACGGACTAAATCTAGTCACTGCCACTCTACAGATATGTGGTCGTAACCACGTAGGTTTAGGCACACTGGCCTACGAAACCCCGTTTGATATGGCAGATGGGATCCTGACGGCCTAGAAGAAGACGAACCCGCCGAAGGAGTGAGTACATCGACTGAGGATGGACCTGCAGATGTTGACACCACCACAGACCTCTCCCTGTGTATTGTTTTTTGTGCAGTGTTGCGACAATTAAGAACATTTCCTTATTTTTATATGAGTATATACGTAAGCAGTTTTGTTTCACTTATTTTCTTCTGTATTGCTATTTTTATTTGTGTACTTTTTACCTTTTTAATCAATATTTCCTTTTCCCAGCCAAAGAGTCTCCAGAGCGGGGGGATGTCATCGAGTGCCATAGTCTGAGAACTAGTATGCACTTCGATGCGCATCGCCCCGCCTCGAATTTTCTTATTAGCTAGTTAACATTAAAATACCATATAAATAGTAAAATACTTATAAATATCGGTGATTTTCAGGACAGCCAGGTCAGTTCTTCTCGGGCTCCTCTAGAGCATAGCGCTCTAGGGGCTCTGCTCAGCTGTGGCTGAGT